AAGTGATTCCGTGACACCAAAACCAACCAAGTGGATCGAATATACTGAGTATAGTGACAAGAAAACGACATCCAGAGACACAACCAATGCGCCTTCCTCTGAAACGAGTACAAAAAGGACCAAGAAACTGCAGCAAGCAAGACCCAGACAGACAGACATCACGCCGTATTAAACCCGAGAAGAAGATATCCAAGAAATGAGCTTCAGCTCAATCAGACACCTGAGCGGAGCGAGAAGCCACCTTGTTCACAGAAATATAGACCTGTTGCCCCTATCTCATACTGCCCGCCCCTCACTCTTCGCCCTTTCCCCATTCTTTTTCCCGTTAATTTGCTGGTATATTGTTTCGACTCATGAGCCGGAAAATTTGCGCCAACCGCGCAAGAACGCATCATCCAACGAAACCCAGAGCGGACACCGCCGCAAGACAATGACCAGCACACCTCGAAGCACATATATATATATATATATATATATATGTATCTACTTGCGAAGAATAGCCTCGTAGACAGTGCCAATAGTGCCAATTGCAGCAGTGGTAAGCATGCCTGGCCAGTGGAAGGGGACAGATACATTCACCCTCTCAATGGAGAAGTTGCTGTATAGACCCATAAAGGTGAAATGATTCGCATAAACCACGTACGCGATGACGGCCTTGGCGATATTGAAACTGAGCGGATCGAACTCAGGACGCGCCTTGTGGCCCTTGCGCGTTTCAGGGACAGGACTGCCGCTTGTCTGCAAGCTGATGTTGAAAAAGTAAGCAAAGAGCAATGGTAGAAGGTAGCTCGTAAGCAGCCACAGGGAGAAAGGGGCCCAAAAGGCCCCATCCACAAGCATGAAGAGATCAGGTACCCTAAGCGCGAACTCGGGGCTATTGATCGCTGGCACAGCGGGGATAGTGGTCAGATAACGGATTGGGATGAGATCTTTCATGACAAAAATGCCTTCAACGGCCATCACTATGGTCTCCACAGCTCGTACGCTGCTCATTTTCGAGCGCAACCAGCTGGAGCTTTCCTGTACGCCCGAACGGGTCCACGCGTCGTTGATGCGCTCGCGCCATTCAGCGGTCTGCCGATCAATCGCATCTGTGACCAAAGCAGGCGATAGTGGAGGCTCGACAGTGATTTGCGAGCGCACAGGAGTCTTAGTTACAGCAATGGCAGCCTGGTTCGGTGTCGAAGCTTGCGAAGCTTCCGAAGCTTCTGATTCGTCCCTACGCAGCAAAGTCAATAGATTTGTCGCCAAAGCTACACGCGCATACCCAAGCTATCGCGAAAGCCGGCAATGCGACGACGCGACGGAAAAGGAATCGGAAAGAATACGAGAGGGTAGAAACCTACGTCACTTCAACCTCCTCCTTTTTTGGTTGTGTCTGTCTCCGACGCGCTGTTCCAGGCGTGGCTTTCCGTGTGGCAGCCGTAGCTTTCTTCGGGGCAGGCGTGACGTCGACCCCAACGGCTTTCTTGACCGGGGAAGTAACGCGCGCAGGCGATGATGAAGACGCGCGCGCCCAGTATTCCTTCAGCTCGGGAACATTGATCAGGATAGTTTGGTTATCTTGAAGGTACTTGTTGAGCGCGACGGCCAGCGCGTCCTTGTTGCCGTAATCCGCATAGCTGCGCACAGGTTAGAAGTGCGCTGTATCACTATTCTGCCTACCGGGAGCATACTCATCAAGTCCAGCAGCTTGCGCGAGGTCGTTGACCTCAGCCCTGCGTAGCTTCTTCAGCCAATTCAATGCGTTTGACATGGTGATGCGCGCGGGTAGACGGGTAGACCAAGACTGTGGAGACCATGCGACGGGCGCAGAACACAGAGTAAGGGATGGGTTTGTTTATATATACTGGAAGCGCTTATTGAGATTGATACCGAGTGCAGAGCAAACAAGGTAAACAAATATGAAACCAGGAGAAATCGAGGGTTTCAATCCAATAAATAACCAAGGTAGATGGGGATGGAGAGAGACAAAGGTGGTTGCATCACCGCCGGGGACAACAGAAGGCTTGACTGCCTGAGGGGGGGGACTCGTGGGGCTGGGGGCGCTTTGTTTACATTTGGCCGGTTGTTGTGGTCGTCCCATCGCCGTCGCTTAGCGTGGTTCGGCAGCCTCGCTGTCATTGGCCCGGGAGCGATCAACGGTCAATCCTCTCACGTTTCTTTGTTCTTTCTTCTCATTATTATCTATTCTCGAGAACATGGTTCACTCATTCTATTGCTGCTCGGGTGCTTTGTCTTCTTTTGATAAACGAAGGGAAAGAGAAAGGGAGGATTGGTCTATGGTACACGTCGCATAATTAGGCATCGTCTAGGAGTCTATGTGATAGAAGAAAGAAACAAACAGAAGGCCGTACCAAGACCTCTCCAGAATGGTACATATACATATCAACAATGACAGCGACGATTTCCGTCATCTTGTCATGATGCGCAATAGTGAGGAGAGGTTGGTCCGATGCAGAAGGGGAAGAAAATGAACATGCCACAACCCCGCCAGAACGCCCTGCAAACATAGCCTGCCAAGGTGCACACATATGCTCCGGGTGCGATGCGAATGTATCTACAAGGAGGATCTCCCTCTACTAAGTTGAAGATAATGAGCTCGGCTAAAGAGGATCCGTCTCCCCAGTAGTCTGCCATGCCTCCAGCTGCTTCAGCAGATACTGGTACATGACCAGCATCGTCCCGCTTTGAATGCTGGTCCAAACGCCTCGTGGGCCGACACCACGAAACCATCCGGAAAGCCCTTCAGTCTGGTAGATCATCTTCAAGCCAGTGAAGAATGACGAGGTGTCCAGGCGAGGCGTTCCAGGGGGTCGTACCGAAGTAGAAGCTCCTCCGGTGGAGATTGGCCGGGAGTGAGTGCGGAGGCCTGAAGTGGTTTGGCCTGAAGTATGCTGCCGGGGAGTCTCCTTGGTAGATGCGTGCTCAGCCGGGGCCTTGGACGAAGCGGAAGTAGGCTTGATAGCATCTGGATTCTGCTGAGTCTGAATTCGAGTCTTTACGACATCCATTGGGCAGGTCATCACGCCTGCCATTCCACCAGCAGTGGCAGCAGTCAAGATCTCTAGCCCAAGACCGATATCTCTAGACCCTACCCATTCTTTTGCGAGGCGGTGTTCCTGTTCGTAGAAGGCAAACTGCAGAGCAGAGAAAGGTAGATCACGGAAAATGGTAGCCTTGTACCCATGGAAGAGCGCGGAAAACCCTTCTTGTCGAACGATCGTTCGCAGCGCGTCTGAGGTCGAGCGGTAATTATACCCAGAATTGAAGTAGGGGTTGTTATAGCGCCCCTGGAGTTGCAGCCGTGTCTTTAACACCTCCGAGGGAACATATACAACAGAAGCGGCCAAGTCCGCAATGAACCCTAACAGAAAAAAAAACTGATGTCAACATGATTGCACGTCCAACTCTCCCAATGGATCATCTCCCACATACCTCCAGACAAATATGCAACATTCGCGTTGATCCCCGCATCCAACATCCATCGCTTGGTGAATTCATATGTCCCGAAGAAAATGACAGTTCCCGGGAAAGAACCAAGGAGGGCGGGGGTGACACCACCATAAAGACCGCGGAAAAATCCTTCTTGTCGGTAGATGGTCGCATACGAAGAGGTCATGGAGGTGTACTTCGGCGGGAAGCTAGGGTCGCCTTGTTGCCGGGTCTTGACGGTATCTAGCGAATGCATAAGCATATCGCCGCAAGTGCCTCCGGTACCTCCGGCAAGCATTGCCTGTATTCAAGAAAAATCCATTCATCAGCACATAAAGATAAAAGGGCCCGTCGCAAGGGTTTTCCACTCTGATGGGATAAAGCAGACTACCCCAATTCACCACGAGCCAGGTTATTGCGACTATGTCGACATACATGAAGATATGGAGGACGGGGCTCCTCCTCTTCATCTATCAAAGCATCTTGTTGTATATGAGCACCATTTTCCCTCTTCATCGGACTAGAAGCATTCTGAGAAGCATTATTGTCGCCGTTCTTGGCGTTCTGCAAGTATGATGACGTCGACGCAGGTGAATCAGATGTAGATGTCTCTGTCGTCGAAAACAGGCTGAAGACGCGCGAGGTCAAGCTCATTGCAAGGACACCGCAATCCACCAGATCGTGGTGCGGGCCAGACCACGGGGGTTGAGATGCGGCGGCGTAGATCTAGGGCAGCACGCCACCTCGAGCGAAGATGACGGGAAGATGAGAGCGAAGTTGAGAATCAAGCGCAAAAGAATACAGTTGCAATATTATACAAGTTCTGAAGAGAATGGAGAGGCGAGAATCGGTGACATCGCACCTCTCGATATACCAAACAAGAAAAGAAGGGTGGTTGTTTCTTCCAATCGGCCTCTTGCAAATACCGCAAAAAGTCCCCAAAATTTCGGTCGGTTTTCCGCTTTCTCCGCCGCCCGAGCCCGTCTGACAGCCTCAGGCACCATTCCTGGTCAACCTAGGAAAATGTTGATCCTACTGAGGAAAGACAACTGCATCGGGAGTGTACATGTTCAGCGAAAATATCAAGAAATCTTAATGTCACTATCGAGCCTTCGAAAGCCGATTAACAGACGTGATATGCTTATTTAAGAACGATACAACCAAGACAGTGCAATGGCTAATTGAGGACCAAGGACAAGCACAATATAATCGCACCGTGAATGAGGGTATGAGATGCACTGAAGATCTCGTTCCATCTTGCACATCCAAGAGTTGCGGTATCTCTGCAAGAAACACAAAAGAAAAAAGGAGGCTACATCCTATACCTGCTCCCACATGCACACTTCAGCCATTTCTCTCGCATAATTTTCACCACCAGCTGCTATCTTCGCAACCACAGGCCAGTTCTGATCATTATCAGACCAGTGGTTCTTAAATTCGTTAAAATTCATCAGTGATGGCAATGAATATCTGTAACCGACCCCAAGAAAATTCCAGGGAAGAAAACCTTGACAGGATTTCCCGCTCTTCGTTACAGACGTTGCCAGCATTTCCAACAATCTGAATTACTGAGGCTTCTTGGCAGCAGCGCCGGAGGTGTAGCGGCTCAGATTCGTGGCCTCGTATCCCTGACGCACGAAGTTTTTGAACTGTTCCCAGCCCTGGCGAACTGCGGGAGGAGTGCTCTGGTGAGAGACTGAGGCATCGACTCTGGCGGTGAAATGACGGACAGCCTGCTGGACAAAAGAGCTCTGGGAATATCTGGCGCGGAAGAAAGCCAGATAGAGGAAAAAGAGGACGATGCTACCCTTGGAGAAGGTGAGTAGGGACACCACCAATCGGAACAAGAGCGCCATTTCGAGCCCAGCAACAAGATCCATGCTGGTATCGTAATATTGCTTGACGAATCTTCCAATGGTATCTGCCAAAGGAGACTGCTTCGCAGCAGGCTTGGGGGAGCCAGGGGAGGACGGAGAGGCTGCGCCAGCCGCAGCCTGGCTAGGGGGCTGCAGGGTAGGAATCAAGTGGGCACGGGTGTAGGTGGCAACGTGGAAAACGGAGTACACGGTGAAGGGAAGGAGAGCGAGAGGGATCTGGCGAGAGTAGAGCCAGACCAAAGCCATTCCTGACGTAACTTTGTAAGCTAAGGCTGTCCGAGAAGCCATTATAGCAATGCACCGCCGAGAAGCCACTCACCAAGGTACTGGACATTTTCATCTCCAGCGAGCTTCAACGCGATAGTGGGAACGCTGCCCTGCAGACGGCCTCGGGCGATGTGTGCCTTGTATACCACAATTCCATATGTCCCGGCAGCCGCAATAAACGCCAGGCGATAAGACACCTGTGCAGCGGAGGAGTAGTAGTTGAAGGTGACGTAGGACAACAAGTAACGGAAAACCGAGATGAGAAGCGTCACGTGTCTGTAGCTCGTCAGTGAACTTGCCAGCTAATACTAATGCCTCCTTCGAAGGGGCTCTGGTGGTAAAATAGCAGGGTTGATGTGCTTTGACGGAGCCGAGACAAATCGAGGATGAAATCAATTCATAATCCGAGTCATTGACGGGGGCGGATGGAGTGCCTGTTTCTGCAATATACACGGAGACCTACCCAACAAACCAAGCAAATCTATAGAGTTCACGCCATCTTCGTCAGTATCCAAATCTTGAGATCAATGTGCAATGCAGTCTACATACTGCAATGTTTGAACGAGAGCCTTTAGCCTCTCAGGAAGTGGCAAGTTCGAGGGAGGTGGAGGAGCCATGAGCGCTGTGTGGATAGTTGTTATCTAGAGTGTTGCGTAGGCGGAGGAAGCAGGAAGGGAGGAAAGGTACTGCGAATTCGAGGAGTGACAATGGAATAGCAGGGACACGTTTTCGGTATTAAAAAGCAAGATGCAGTTAATTGAGGGCTGGCAGGCTCAATAATCCGTCGATAAACTGTGAGGGGAGGCTGGGCGGGGAGAGGGTTTTGGCGATGCTGGGTTGCGATTTGGGGTGTGCGCCTAGTCTAACGGAGGATTGGAAGTGGTTTAGCTGGAGAACGGGGCAGAAGCTCAGCGCGGCTCTACTCCGCCTCGTCATCGTTCGGAGTGACGTCGAGTGCTGCCTCGGGATGATGCAACTGCTGGCCATACGGATATTCGATGCAAATCTCAGCTTCTGTTATACAAGTTTTCGAACGACCATGCGAGTACACAAGTCTGTTCAACGCCGTTCGTCAATTTCTCATCTGCTTTTCTTCTTCTTGATTTTCTTTACTTGTTGAAGTCGCTTCTCTGCTCTCCGCTACATTATATCCCCAACACATACGGCGCAAGAAATCTAGCGAAAGACCGAGATTACTTTTGACGACAACTTGAAATTGACAACTAGAACAGAGCAGACTGTAAAGAAAATGGGACATCGAGAGAAAGATGGTCGAGGGTGAGGTATTTCACTAAAATGAGTAACGAAAAGGGCAGAAGAGGGCAAGAGAATAGAATGTCACAAAGAGTGATTGACCACATTGGGGAATAGGAAACAGGCAGACACCAGGTATAACGTAGGCGAAAGTACATGACGCGAAGTGGAAAATGGGCGTAAGACGGTTGATCGACCTGAGCGGGCCACAGCCCCTGCTCATTCATAATCCTGCAAATGAAGCAAAGGGACAACTCGAGCAAGCAGACGAATTACTTGTCCGCTCGCGGTTCGCATGTTCCAACGCATCTCCCAGTCAAGTCTCAATTAAAGTTGTATCGATTCTTGCTGGAAAAGGAAAAGAAAGGGTGACGAGTTCTTTTTCTTGGTCCGCGCAATTAAATGGTAGAGTCGTTACTGAAAGAAGCAGATACGAGAAGGAAGAGTTTCAAGGAGCGTGGTGAAACAAATAAACACACGAGAATGGAGGGAAGTCGAAATGAGCGCTCGGTCAATCAACAGTCGTGCAGGATCAAACGTAGAGACACCGGAAGGTCTCCGACGGCATTGCATACCTTCGGTGTTCCAAGGTAGTGCTCTTTGAAGAGAAGCATCAGAGTTCCAGTCACTGGGTAGCAACCTTAACGGAGAGAAAAGCCCTTCCTCTTCCCCTTCTCTTCGATCGGCCTTCCACTCTCGAGCCGGGCTTTCTTCTCTTCCAGCTCCTGGCGTTGGCGTTCCAGTTGGTCCTTCATCTCGCGATGTCGTGCGTATAATTCGTCTTCGCTCTGTTTCAGCTTGCTTTCCTTCTCCGCAACCTTCTGTTGGAAGACCATCTTCATTTCTGCCTCCATCTTGGCGAGCTTCTGCTCGTGCAAAGCACGCTCCTCCTCCTGCTTGACTGCTGGGTTGACCTCCTTGAACACACTTGGGTCCTGGGCGACACCCATTTGGGTAAGCTTGTCGGACCGGTAGTTCTCGTAGAGCCAGTTGTTGGTGTGCTCCTTGAGTTCTTCCATGTGAGTGCGGATCAGCATCTGGCGCAGTTTGACAAAGTCACAGTGTTCCTCGTTGTCGACCTCAATGACACCCCAAGGATAGCTACGGCCGCGCACTTTACGGCCATCAGCTGTGGTGACCTCGGTGTTCGCACCAACAACGGCGAAAGGAACCTTGGACATGATCTCTTGGTTCTCGGCGATGGTCTCCTCGTCATCAAGCTCGTAGCGGGGTCCCTCGAAGATCTGGATCGAATGGTGCTGGATATCTGCGAGAATCTAATGGGGGTGACAGGATTTAGTTACCACTCCATGACCGGTGAAAAGCGTGGGCTACTTACTCTCTGCTTGAAGAGGGAAATCTCCTCGTCTGTCAATGTGTCGGCCTTGGCAATGACAGGGATCAGGTTGACCTTGGTGTGCAGTCTACGCATGACCTCGATGTCGAGGGGCTTCAGCGAGTGGCCGGTGGGCTGGATGAAGTAGACACAGGCGTGAATACGGTTATCGACGATGTTTGTGCGGTTAACCTTGTTCTCCGCCTCCAAGTAGGCATCGTATCTCTGCTCGATGTTTTCGACGATAGGGCGCCACGAGTCATCGTTGTTGACGAAGTCACCGAAGCCGGGAGTGTCGACCACAGTCAAGCGAAGACGGACGCCGTTCTCCTCGATATCTGCGCTGATGGACTGGATAGAGACTGTCTTGGGGATGATGTCGTGACTGGGGCCGGTGCGCTCCTTGGGGGGGTAGAGGGAGGTGTTGAACAAAGTGTTGACGAGAGTCGACTTTCCAAGACCCGATTCACCTATCGTGTGAGGTCAGCAATCAATAATGGGCTCCTTTTTCTTCATAGTTGTTTTCGCTTCCGAAGATGATTCTGAGAAGACTTACCAACAACCATCACGTTGAAGTTGAATCCTTTGCGCACACTCTTGCGGTGCCATTGGTTGGGCAAATTGGCGAAACCAACGTAGCCAGTCAGCTTGCGGCGAACGACGTTCTTCATGTCCGTGGCAGCTTGAGCCACAGCTTTTGGATCTTTGGAGCTGACTGTCTGAGCGTTGCCGGCACCCATGGGGTTGCTACGCTCAACATAAGGAGACCCTGGGCTGCTAGGTGCGGGAGAGTCCTTGACAGACGCGGGAGTGCCATTGGCAGGAGGGGGTGGTGAAGCTACATCATCCGAAGAAGAGTCAGCAAAACGATACGAGATTCGGCTTTCACTTCCAGAAGGGTAGCTCCCTGGCAGGAGAGAAGATAGTGATTGGCTCTTCGGTCCCGGCTCCTCTTGCAGCGGACTGAGGGTCGGACTCGAAGATTCTAATGGTAGGTGATCCTCCACAGTGGGATTCTCCAAGGCCACCGACATTGTTGTATTGTAGCACGCAGAACTCAGGATGATGACAAGCAAGAATTGACGGGCAGTTGGCGGACAGATTGACAGATGAATGTAGCTCGATGCAAAAGAAGATCGAGAGCGGGCTTACCCATTGTGAAAATTATTGGGTTGATTCTAGAAGCGAGCGTGGGATGCAATCAAGGTAGCGAGCGTCAAGAAGGAAGTTCCCCTGAATAGCGCCTTCTGAATTAGCAAACACAGGTTCCTACTGCACGTAGCTAGGGGAAGGAGGGGCACGGAAGGGATCAAGGGCAATGAATGAATTGATGCCGCAGTCTCAAATGTATTTGCAGAAGCAGGGAGGAGTTCCAGCCCCAGAAGTGTCATAACTTACCACCGTTTCACTGGCAAAGGGTGAAATCAGTCAATCACGAGTAAAGGACGACCAAGACCACGGTAAAGAATCCCAAGCAAGCTCAAAGGCGGTGTGCAAAAAGCTAGACACAATAACTATTGTAGGGAAATAAAGTACTATGAAGGGAAAATTATTGAGTACAAATAAAAAGAAGGGGTCGTTGAACGAGAGAAGTGAAGCAACAACAATATGAAGAACCAGGGGAAACTGGACCTGCAGAGAGTGATGGGGTGGAGGTCGAAGAAAGGTGGTCGCTGGAGCGAGCCAGCCTACTACATATCTACTACTAGTATCACTAGACACTGCCAATCCGCCAAAGAAAGGGGCACTTCGCTCAATTAAGCAAAATCTTAGCTTCACGCACATACTCATCCTGAGAAACAAAAGAGCATTGATCTATCTAATTCTTTTAATCATAAATCTTTCGCAAGTTGAGCAAAAAAAGACCCGATCGATTTATCGCATTCTACACAGCTAAAAGGCGGGAGATATCCTGGCTTTCATTCTCAACCCCGAGGACATTGAACGCTTCCTGACTACCTACTGAGAAAGATTTAAAACTTCAGAAAGACAGTGGGCTTGCCAAAGGACGAACAGCGCAATCCTATACAAAAGAGACATCTATAGAGCATCGGATCAAAACTTTCTTTTGACTTTGCTCCAGGACATTTAATATGACCTCGAGCTTCCGATGATACGACTTTCAGAACATTACTCCGTACTGTACCGTACATATCCTCCCGTCCTACCTTACCTTACGATCTGACAATCACCTCAATAATAACAGTTCCCGTCCCATGGCTCTTGTAAAATTACGGTAGTGCATACCTAGGTAAGATCCATTGTATTGATATCAAGCCTTTTCATCCAACTTTGACAACATCCCAGCAGTTCCATTCATACCAAGTGTACTATGTACAACATAGCCAGCCATCTCTGTCGTTCTAGCTATTCACAGCAGCCACCTTATCTCGGGGGTTCTGGTCCCTTAGGTTGTCCTACCTGTAATATCGAATGGTACCTACCCGGTTGCCTGTTCAATCAGGGGTAAAAACAGCCTCCCGTGGAACTTCCCGTCGATTTTCGAAGGGAAATTTGGCCAGCGACCAATCATAGCGACCAATCATTAACTTGATGAGCGGCCTGGGGCAGCATCACTCCATGGACGAGCTTCAAGTGGTTCGGTAAAGTTGAAATCTTGGCAGTTGGCTCATATTTCGATTCAAATCTTGGTTGCCAAACCCTCCATACAACTGTTTTGCCAGACTCGGGCATACTCTGGAATCGATATTGATGAAGACAACGACTTTCCGATATGGCACCAATGTCGGACATATATTCAGGTCATCTTCCGGGTTATAGATAGATGGCATAAAAAACTGTTCCGTTGGCAGCACACACCGTTGTGAAACGACACATCAGCCGTGTATGCATGTAGTACAAACCTGCAGGTCTTGAGAGCACTTCATAGTGGACAGAATATGATATAGTATGATTAAACGATATGAGGCAGGTTGGATGCATAACCTAGAAGGGCGGATCCACTAGATAGTGCTTGATTGAGGATAAGGAACTTCTATGCTCAGAATAAGTAGTCCTTCGAACAATCGCAAGGCCAAAGAGCTGACTGCTACTTCTACTGTAGCTTTACAGAGATCTACATTGCATACATAGGTACATGCATTGCCCATCATAGACCGATGATCCCGATGAGTTATGACTAACATGGACTGGCTTTAATGCATACTCATGAACTTTCTCCCAGCATGACCCGAGTAATGAGGTCTACCTCTGTCCAAAGTAATAGACCGAATCCTGCTTGGGATAAGGTCTTTTTCTCCGGCTCAATTCAATAGTCGTGCCCAAGATAGGAAGAGCCGCCGCGACAGACGATTGCTTATGTGACACATCAGAACGCAAAAGTGAGCTCATACAATACGTAGTGACCCGAGCCTTCACTAAGAGACCTCTGATTTGCAATCAAGAATAGACTAGATATTGGCTGAAAATCGCGTGTCGTACTTCATCAGAATTCAATGTAGGTTACCATGACGGTCAGTAGATTGATGGTACAGCCTTTCTGCGAAGGGAAAGAGAGTTCGCTTCCAATTGTATCCACTATACAACCATGGTCATTAGTATGTCAATTTTGTCCAGAACGCATCGAACTATTTCCCAGTCTTGCTCTTCTTCTTAGGCCGTTCCTCTTGCTCTGACATGTCCACATCCTCATCATCATCGCCGGCGTCCGAAGCATCATCCATCTCTGCGTCACTTGCGCTGCCGCTGCTTTCGTGCTCAGAATCAAATTCCTCTGCAACATCTGATTCAGACTCTGCCTGGAAGTCTTCGTCAACAGATTCTTCATCCTCATCTGCTGAGCCGCGATCGGCCCGTCCACCTTCCTCATCACTAGACATCATGTCATCGTTGTCAAGGGCAGCGGCAATGAGTGCCGAAGTCTGTTACAATATATTAGCATCTAGTAACCAGAAATTTGCGGTAGTTGTTGGAGTAGACATACATCATCTGACATCTCGTTCTTGAACCGAATGTTCTTGGCCTTGAAGAATTCCTCAAGGGGTTGTTGTTCCTCACTGTGGTAGGTATTAGTGACACTAGTGGCATGTTGTTCTGGAAATGGCATACCGGTTGATGTTACTAAACTGGTGTTCTCCCATTCCAGCCTTCAATGTGACCGTGATATCAAATGTTCTACTTGCCGACACGGCGCCACCAACACGGGACATGGTGATGACAGCAATATTCTCAATCTGCACGTAAGTAGCGGGCTTGGGGACGAAAATCAAGCTCTTATCCAAGAAGTACAAAAGACCTTCGTTGGCTTTGATCGAGCATTTGACTCCGCTGTGTCCGTGGTGGCTATTGCACGTAGTCAGCACGGATCAGGCAAATTGTCAAGGATATGTATGACTGACCTGACAAAGTCCTTTGATGGCATGATGACCTTCTTGCCAGACAGGCCACGGAAAATCTTGGTGACGACTTGATGAATCGGCTCTTCGTAACGAGGTTCCAGCTTATCCTTGTAGCGGGATTCCAATAGTTCCCTACAAAGGATCAGTTCCAAGTTCGACATCACAATAAGCTTTCGGGGAAAACTGACTCTGTCATGTTGAGCTCCAGGCTGATTTCTTCATCGAGCTTCAACTGCATGACGAGGAAAGGATACCGAGTCTGACCTTGCCGTAGAGGAGGGTCAAGACCTAATACAATGAGTGTGTGCATCTCATCGTTCTTAGGAAGTAGGAAAAATTTCTTGATGGAGGCGTATTGAATCTTGTAGTCGTATGTTTTGCCGCGAAGTCGGAAGGAGGATTCGTACATGTCGATATCAAACCGACCTCTGCAGGGTTCTTTAGTATGAAATCGCTGAAAGACGTGCTCAATAGAGAGACGTACCTAGGTGTAAGATGAAGAACATCAAGGAACGTAGCAAAGGTGTCACCAGCGACATCGCCAATCTCTGCCTTCTCCATAAGAGTCTCATAGAAGAGATTCGCCGCATTCTGTTCTTCGCCTTCTTCCTCCTCTTCTCCGTTCTCTTCATCATTTTCTGACTTGATGCCCTTCTCTGTCTTAACCGCTGTCCCCGGGATGTAGAAACGCATCTCGACTAACTCATCCGGACCCGCGGCAGCTTTTCGACCGCGGTTCTTTGTGCTTCCAGAAGGTTGGGCATTGGCGTCGCCGTCTGATGTAAGAGCGAACTCGACTGCGACCTCATTCTTTCCCGCCAAATTTGTGTTCGATATTTCCGAATAGGGGATTTCAAATGCTGGTCGGTTCTGGACGTTGAAAGCAAGTTCTGCCTTTGTGAATTCTGCTTTACCCCAATTCCACCCTCGTAGTGCATGCTCGCGGTTGTCAACATTGATGCCGTACCAAATCTTGAAAGCCTTGCTCAATCGTTCAAAGTCCTATTCGAAATCCTCAAAGTCAGTAAAACAGTCCCCAGGTCTACCATTTAAGGTTGGTTTTCGCCACGAGTCCTACCTCTTGGTCAAACCCGTCTAATTGAATCACACCCGATGAACGCGATAGAATTTTCAGCTCAAATCCTTTCGCTGCCCGGCTCCATTGAGCTGCGCCGATATTGTTGCTATCAAGAGTGAATGTATCACCTCCGCCAGAAGGGCGCCATCCCAACCCACTCTCAGCGAGCTTGCATTTTCCGGGTTGCTTTGAGAGGTCGAGGTAGATGTTGTCAAAAGCCTCCCTACAAATGAGTTGAGCATGACGAGTCAAAAAGAGCGCGTGCGACAAAGGTAACTCACATTGTGGAGGGTTTTTAGAGCAATTCGCCCTTGAATGTCAATTCGCAACTCCTGATTTCAGCGTTAAGAGCGAAGAGACAGAGGAATCGCGACACTGTATGTGATGATCAAAGTGTAGTCAGAGGTCAAATAGCTATCAGCTGCTGAGCTTTACTTTGTGATGTGCCTTTTTCTGGAGTTTCGACTTTCGCGTTGCGCGCGGCAGTCGGCAACTCACGCGATTCTCATTTAAGTTGGCGCCACTTCTTGCACTACAAACTCGCTGCCTCAGGCCGCAATAAATGCTCAGCCACATGTACCTTACTCTGCACTCTCCCTTCGCTCTCCCAGAAATGTTCCATCCATAACATGAATGCCCAAATCATTCGCTTGTTTAACAAAAATCATCTCTTCTAACGAACTGGAATAACGATAAGACTGCTGGGGATCAACATGATAGCCGACAACAGCACTGTGGAACGAGTCTCAAATGATTTGAGCTATCTAGCAAATATGAAGCTATGGCCATCAAGGATGTGCTTGAACTCCTGGATCCATGGCGGGGAGATGTCCGCCCAGGCTGCGGCGAGTCCTTGGTGCAGCGCTCTTCGAAAACAATTTTCACCAGCGGGCTGATCAGATAGAAGCCTCATTCATCAGCACATGGCCATGCCACAAATTTACAGATCTGCCGAGCTACTGCCACGCAAACTCCAGAACCACAGCTATCACAGCGAGGAACCCAGTAAACCGCATTCATCACTATTGATGATAAGAAACGAGGCAATGTAAATTTCCTCCTGCATCTGTCAACCCTCTCGATCGGCGATATGGGCCACGGCCTCCCCGATTTTCCGCCAGGCGCAAGTGTCTCTTCAGTGTTATTCCAAGGGGGGTATGGCCTTGTCATGCCACCATTTAAGCCTTCAGTACAGAGAATGCAGACGACATCAACCAGCCGGAGGTGCATACTACACATCGGTCCCATCTTAAGAGGCGAAAAGCTGCCGAAGCAGGAGACCTTCGAATAGTCCCATCATATGGCTCATGTGGCAAAACTTCTGCTTGTGTGCAACAGAACATTGCGGGCCTTCTGATAGTCGTGAATCTAAGCTATGTGTTTGCCAAAGAGCAGAGTGGAGGTTTGGCTGAGCAAAGACTTCGACTGTTCCGGCACAGGCACAAAACAAAGCTGATGGCCTTAGCCTTGTGAGGAATTCCTGGTAGAGGCGCAGCTCCAGGCAGTAGACAAAAACAGGACCAGGGTGAGTATGATGATAATAATTGGACTGTAGCCGAAAGCTACCTGACATGGCAGGCTTCTAATGAGTCGCGATCCTCAACCACCACCACAGCACTCCAAGGAGTTCTTGCTTCCAAGGTCATCAACTTTCCACAAAGCTCCATATGCAGCTATCACACGACGACTCTCATGGCCATGGTGAGCTACATCTCTAGCTCTCATACCATGATCAAAATAAGGTAACAGCCTATCTCCATCCCTCCGTTCTCTCGACAACTCTCTGTGCGCAGAAAAGTTCTTAAAGGCCCGGTTTCTGCGAGGAATGCCAAATCATGTTTAGTACATTCAACTTGCTGCTGGAATTGAATGATGATTATGCTTGCCTGATTTATTCGAGTCATGATCCGCCGAGGTCAATCCCATTGTGTCTCATGATTGTTGCGCAGTTCCCACCGGCTCAACAGATGTCCCCAACAACATCAACACTATTATCAATATTGAAAATGAACAACGTTGAAATTATTTCGATCACTATTTGCAGGGACGGAAAACTATGGCATGTCCAAATTCAAGATTTTAGCAGCCTCTTTGTTCTGCTTCCCAACGAGTCATTTAATCGTATCGATCAACTCAAACCTAGCCAGTCACTACTTATTCATCAACCACCCTCAAGATTTTTCTTCTCTTTTCTGACATTCTTCCTCGAACAAATAGATGGATCGACAACTTCTACGACAAATACAATGATATCTGACGACGTCCAGGGCCCTGAGGCCAAGCCCGATGATGGCACCACTGATTATGTTCCCCTGCGGAAGAGTAAGAGTACCACCGCCAGAACATCGCATATCACTGAGCAGCCCATGACATGGTCAAACTGGCATAAGCACATCAATTGGTTGAACTGCTTCTTCATTCTTTTTGTCCCTCTTCTGGGTTGTATTGGGGCCTACTGGACCCCTCTACATGCACGCACAGCCATCTTTGCGCTTGTATACTACTTTAATGCAGGCCTGGGCATTACTGCTGGTAACTTCTTCCTTCCCACGTTTTATCCACCTCTCTCTATGATGAGATCGCTGACTTTTGCAGGGTATCACCGATGCTGGGCGCATTGCTCGTATAAAGCCACCCTCCCTTTAAAGCTTTACTTGGCCGCCGTCGGCGTCGCTGCGGGCCAGGGCTCGATCCGCTGGTGGGCGCGTGGCCACCGAGCTCACCATCGCTACACAGATACAGAAAAAGACCCATATTCAGTGCGGAAAGGATTTTTGTACTCACATATCGGATGGCTCGTTATGAAGCAAAACTACAAGAGAGTCGGCCGTACAGACGTCACAGATCTTGACGCGGATCCTGTGGTGGTCTGGCAGCACAAGCACTATATCAAATCAGCCCTCTTCATGACCTTACTCCTTCCGACTCTGTTGTGCGGCCTGGGATGGGGCGATTGGCAGGGTGGGTTTGTATATGCTGGTATTCTGCGCGTTTTCTTTATCCAACAGGCCACCTTCTGTGTTAATTCACTAGCTCATTGGCTGGGTGAGCAGCCATTCGACGACCGTAATTCCCCGCGGGATCATGTCATCACAGCCCTGGTGACCTTAGGTGAAGGGTATCATAACTTTCATCATGAGTTTCCTTCTGACTACCGCAATGCAATTCAATGGTGGCAGTACGACCCGACTAAGTGGATGATTTGGATCTGGAAACAGCTTGGGCTCGCCTATGATCTCAAACAATTTCGTTACAACGAGATTGAAAAGGGACGACTGCAGCAGCTGCAGAAGAAGGTGGACCAGAAACGCGCGACATTAGACTGGGGCGTTCCCCTTGAACAACTTCCTGTGCTAGACTGGGATGAGTTTGCTGCTAAGTCGAGGTCGACTAATAAGGCCCTGGTGGCCATTGGTGGCGTTATCCATGATGTCTCCGACTTCATCAAGGAGCATCCAGGAGGCAAGGCATTCATCTCATCAGCCATCGGAAAGGACGCCACTGCTATATTCAATGGAGGGGTCTATCAGCACTCCAACGCCGCCCATAATCTGCTATCAACGATGCGCGTGGGGGTCCTCCGTGGTGGCTGTGAAGTGGAGAAGTGGAAGTATGTCATGTCGAAGGGTAAACGACCCCTGAGGATAAACTCGGAGCAGCCGCCGATTGACCACGCTGGAAACCCTAGGTGATAGCGGCGCAATCAATTCGAGTTGCCTGTGGTTCATAAATTTGGTGAAGACCGGCCACTGCAACAGGACAAGATTGAGGTTAGGGTTGTAGATAGCATATTCTCGCTCGATAACCTATCCATACTCAGCAATGATTCTCCCACTCTTTCTATGAAGGCAACACCCGCTTGTACCCCGACAGCTTGGGAGGAGTCATATGACTAACTGGATTTGAAGTTTGGAGCAGCTAGCATGTTCACAGCATGGGTATTATTGCCTTTACTTCAGCACCCATCCGCAGTATACACAACGGTCCGGCTCATTTCATGTCCTTGATTGGCAGTTCAGCCACTTGGGGCGGCAACGACCAAATAGTAATCATGGATGATGATTTCAGAAACTATCATTGTACTGTTTTTCAGCATGATGTACTATTAGATCGCAAGCTTTTGACACAGTCCAGATGAAAAAGGTGAAGAGAAATCATCACAGGATTATCATCATATTAGGTTGGTCGCCCATTGTTTCGTATTACGACAATTAAACGAAAATGATACCCCCTGCACCGTTCTATGTTCTTCATTGCAGAAGTTCGATACTATCAGCAAGATGACAGCTGATCTTTCGACAATAATGTCATTATCATTCGACTTAGAAGTGTACATGAACAGTTAGACTAATGAGTACTCCATGTAAACATAGGCATAGTATTAAGCAGATCTCGGATACGTCATCATCTCTATTCAGTGGTCTCACCAGTCACCACTGGATACTATGATACTATGAATAGCATTTAGCGTCGAGGTTTCTCATTAGTAAGGAACCCTGCCAGTTACCAAACTCCATACTCAGGTTTTTCGATGATAGTCGATGTAAAATTAGATGATAGTACTTGTAAGGTACTCCGTAGGTACACCACCTTAACCGTGAGGGAGCAGGGCTCAAGCACTGCGCATTTTAATCATAATCTCACAGTTATTGTCCCACCTTACTTCGAGCATTAAGCACACCAAGTATTAACCTTCTCAGATCAAATATACTAGTATTATTAGTATTTATACTTATCTGTCCCCCATTGGAGGTATTCATATCTCTGGAACGTAGAGGATCTGCCTCCATTATTCCATGGCTCCCATCGCTAGGTAGGTAGTTCTGGGTACTGTGTACGGTACGGAGTACGGTACCTGGAATATACCTACCTACAGACGGGAGTAGGTAAAGGTACCTTAGGTACGGAGTAGTAGAGACGTGTTTTACTGTTTTACATGCCGGACCACCTCACTTTGTTTCGAAGTGGGCCGCTTAAATGAGGTACCTTACTAAAAGGGCCCGCAGTATGTCGAACTAGACTTTTCGAGTAAGGGGTGTAATAATCGATTCCAAGGACCTTAGGCACCTGAAAACTAAGGTAACGGGAACACTACCTCCAGCACCACCACCAAGAGCAAGACTTCAATTCAAGTCTTCGAACAAACGAGCCCTGCCATGTCATAATACTCCTTCGGATCATCCAACTTCATTCAGTCATTCGTTAACTTTCTTATCCTGCCCATTTTTATCCATGCATTGAATTCTTGTCCTTCTGAGAACGCGCAGTTCTATTCGTTCATTACCTATCATTGTTTTTATCCCCTTTTAGCATATTATTCGTGTTCCTCACTTCCACACTCTCTTTTCCGAGTCACTCCTTTGCCAGCCTCTTGCATGACTTTGCGTGGAGGAATTTGAGCTCATCATATAGAAGCTCATCCCGTTCACTCTCCACCTAGCGAGCTTTCTTTTCTCACATACAGCTTGGGTTGGGATTTCTGCAACATATTTCAGGACGATTACTGTCCCTCTCGCCTGTCGTCGCGCCCCTAAACAATGAGGGCTGCCTCACTGTCTGGGCCTGCGACGGCTGGTATTTCGTGCGCACTCCTATTGAACTTTTTGACAGTCTTTGAAGCGGTTCCTACTCTCGGGCTATCATTCACTTCAGTTTCAGAGCCTCAGTTAGATCTGTCGCCTTTAGGTCGAGTCGCTTTTACGGGAGATTTCGATGCTGTGTCAATTTATTCATATACCGAACAATCGAAGACAGCTTCGGTCCACGATGACGGACAATCGATTCTAGCACCGCTTCCAAATGGCGAGCTTACAGCGCTTTCGTCGTCCGATGCCCAGATTCGTGCAATGTGCGCGTTCACGCGAAAGGATGGAACTTATGAGGGTATCTTTGTCGGAGGGAACTTCACTAAGCTAGGCGGCGTTGAAACCAAGGGTGCAGCACTATACAAGCCTGACTCCAACGAAGTTACAGCTTTGCCTGGTCTTTCAGGGTCGGTCTCGGCGTTGCTGTGCGACCAGGAAACAAACAGCGTTTACGTGGGCGGTTACTTCAAATACGAGAACACATCGAACGCCGTCGCTTGGGTCGGAGGTGAAGGCTGGAAGACATTGTCCTTCGATGGGCTCAATGGGCCGGTGGAATCCATCCTGAAGAATGACGACGGTCATATAATTTTCGGTGGATCATTCGATGGCGTCGGCAACTCCACATCTTCCAAGAAAAAGGAGCAGATTGTCAATCTTCAGAATGCCACGATAAGCTCCGATGCCGTTTCCTCGAGATCAGGCTACAGTAACCCTAAGAATGTTATCTGTCAAACCAGTGGCGAGGACGGCGAAGGAAAGACATGGCTGCTTGCTGATACTTCGCCAGGCTTCTGGAGAGCTGATATGGGTTTTGAGTACAGACCGACTAAACTCCGTCTGTACAATACCCATTTTGAGGGCAGGGGCACCAAAACCTTCCTGTTCAGAAGGCTTCCGGACAATGGCATCATGAACTTCACATACACAGATCCTGACACCGGCTACGACGTTCATTGCGACTCTTCTTGTCCCCTCTCCGACAGCAAAGACGAGAAATACCGTGATTTCGAATTTGTGAATGTCGTGGGCATGAGCGGATTCCAAATTGAAATTTCGGACTGGTATGGATCTGGTGCCGGACTGAATGGAATTGAGCTCTTTCAGGAAGGTGAGTTCATTTCATAAATATGTTTTTCAACGATTTGTGCCTTACTGAAACTGAACATGGCAGAGATTTTCGCCTATGCCGTGGATGCGTTTAACGAGCCCACGTGTGCAAGCATCAAGTATCCTTCTAAAGCAACCCGGACGGGCTCTTGGTCGACAACGGAGTCCGGACAGAGTTCATCCGAGTACTTAACGGCTGATGTCACCGATTCCACTGCAGACAGTACTTCCGTGGTCTTTGAGCCAGACGTCAAGCAGTCTGGAAACTATAGTATCCTTCTCTACACGCCTGGGTGCAGCCAAGATGGAACTTGTGATGCACGCGGTATCGTCAACGTGACGGCCACTGTCACAACGGATTCCGACGAGCCTATTCAGACTGTCATCCACCAAACGAATCTCTACGAAAAGTACGACACTATCTATACCGGTCATGTCGATGCCAGTGGTAGTTCGTTTCGTCCAAAGGTGAAGCTGATTCCGGTGGCCGGTCAAGGAGACATCACGGTGGTAGCATCAAGGGTCAAGTTTATGCTCACAAATGCATCAAGCAATTCGACAAGTGGAGACTTGAATGGACTTTTTGAATATGATCCCACTTCCAAGGTTGCAAGTGCGAATCTGACACAGTCTGCCGTTGATAAAGCAGGGTTACAGCTTGACTCGGGTGCATCTGTGAAGACTTTGGCCAAGTATGACAACAAAATCTATGCAGGCGGGAACTTCTCGGATTCATCTATTCACAACATTATGTTTTTCGGTGATGGAAACGCGACTGCAATGACTGGGGGTGGTCTGAATTCTGAAGTCAAATCGATGGCGGTGCTGAACAACTTCCTCTACGTAGGAGGAAATTTTACCGATACATCTGATGGCGGTAATCAGAACCTCAAACACGTCGCAGCTTATTCAGTCGATACCAAAACCTGGTCGGCTCTGGGAGGAGGTGTTAACGGCCCTGTCGACCGGATCATACCTTTGCAGTTGAACATCTCCACGGATCTCAATGAGACTGTGGTTGGGCTGAGCGGTGATTTCAACCGAATACTTGCGTTCGGCAATGAATCAGCTTCCGATGTATATGGTTTTGCTGTCTGGGTTCCCTCGCACAAGAATTGGCTTGAGAATCTTAACGTCAGCCAGAATGTGTACGCTGGGCAATTAACCGCTTACGCCAAACATGAAAACACAAGTATTCTCGCAGGCAACCTCGCTTCAGGGGGTATTGCAGCCGCAGGCGCTGTAGCGCTGCTATATAATGACGGGATGAGTCTGGACCCCTTGTTGACAAAGGTGGGCGGAACCAATACCAGTGCTGGGACATTCACCGGTACTTATGACACAAATTCTGGCCGCAACCTTACTATTCTTGGTGGCCATTTCACCACTACCGCCAGCGATGGTTCTTCAGTCCAAAATCTCGCTATCCTGGATGGCGCTGACAAGACCATCCGCGGTATCGGCTCGGGACTTGACACCAATTCCACCTTTTTGACCTTGACCGTTTCGGACGATACCCTGTTTGCAGGTGGGAATGTTACCGGAAACGTGGGCAATTCCATGATTAATGGGTTTGTGGCATACAACTTGAAGAACGGGTCGTTCGTTGAGAATGTGCCTCCCCCTTTTACCGGGAAAGACGTCTCAGTTAATGCAATAGCCGCCCGTCCTGGAACGACCGAAATCTATTTTGGAGGCAATTTCCAGACTGCTGGAGCGCTGCCTTGCCCTGCCGTCTGCTTTTATGATACAACCGAGGCACAGTGGAATCGACCAGGCGTGACTCTATATGGTAGCGTCTTGGCACTCAGGTGGACCAGCAACAAGCAATTGATTGCCGTTGGCAATCTTACTGTTTCAGGAAATCAGACTGCTGTCGCGACCTACAATGCTAAAGATCAGAGCTGGGAATCGTTGGCCGGGACATCTACGTCCGACATTCCTGGAACTGTCACAGCTTTTACTCCTGCCAACACGGACGTTTCAAGATTCTGGCT